CCATTTCATTCTGCAAAATTTTAGATTCAGCATTGTAAAACCATCTCAGAAGTGGAGTATTTTTATCGATATTTTTAAAGTTTCATGGATGGACCAGGAATGAGTTAGAATTCACCTTAATGGTTATTTTCGGATGTGCATTCATATTCTGATCCTATAGTAAAATACTTATATTAAGTTTTAGTATCCATACTATTTAACATTAGTTTTGTCAGTCTTGGAGCACAGAAATGCTAATTCATATTCCTCTTAGCCCCGTTGACTCTGATAAGAAGTGACGCAACTAAATTTCAGGAAATTATAATTGGAGCTCAAAGACCATTAGATTGTACCCACCAATTTTTATTAAGTGCATTGGGCTGATACTGCTACTTTCTAATAATAACCCTGGCAAAAACAGCACACTATGAAGGTCATGAAAATACTAGCAGAGTAGTGATAGCCAAGAGGGAAAACATACAATTGTACCAAAATACAAACGCCAGTATTACAAAAAAAGGAGACTACTGTAGGATTTGCAGGCTTAAATATGCTTTTTATTCACACATGGTTGTTAGTGTTTGATCTGTTAGCTATCTAACAGTATTTGTCGTTTGTGCTCAGTTCCAGTGGAGAACATATAGTCGACTGCCTCCATCTTGGTGACTATCTGTCCGGCAACGACTTGTTCCCTCACATCTTGAATGGCGGTGTCGTCGTAGAGTCCGTTATAGTGCTGCTGCCGTTGTTCGCCGCAATCACGGATGGAAGATCCCGCGACTGCTGTCATTGCTCCTGAAGGCGTCATCGGAGCCACCGCTTGCCTGAGCGAGTGTGCAAAGTGATCAACACCGGTAGAAGTATGCCCATTAATCATGTCGATAGCTAATGCCTCAGCACAGGAACGCGATGCAGCCCCCTCGGGACCACCAACATTAAAAGCGCCGGGAAGATCGGGACCCACAACCATCTCGAAGGTAAGTACACTACAGCGCCAAGAAGACGCGAGAGATGCGGCACGGGCTGCTCGTGCCTCGGGGCTCAGGCTAGCATCACCAAACATCACGGAAGTTCTTCCACGAGGCTTTAGCTCCAGATACTATTAGAGGTCATTGCCAACAGAAAGTTAAGAAAAATGAA